GATTTAACTGAAAATATACCTTTTTTATCATAGTGCCATGCCATGAAGTCCTCAATATGGTCTTGGACTGGGATCTGAAGTATAACTCTTGCATATTCCGGAATGAACATCTGCTTCACTAATTCTTCGTCCCACTTGTTCGTGATTGGATTAATTAGCTCACTGACTTTAGTTACCAAGTTATTACCCTTTTGGGTGATGACCCTTCTGGTGCTGCCTCTCGGAATCCATGGGTCTGACCATATATCAATGTTCTTACCGCTACCTACTCTCCATATGATTCCCTTCTTCAGCAGTTCAACACCTTTTAGAATGCTTCGCCATACATAGGAGATGCCACTTCTTGGCCTTGTTTGTATTATTGAACACTCTGGGTAGTATCTTGCTGAGAGCACCTGGGCACATAATGAGGTGGGATTTTGGAGCAGCCTCCATGCTTGCTTTGCTAGCATGGCCAGATTGAATGCATGTAAGTCCCTAAACCCCAAGCCTCCACTTCTTTTTGACCTAGTTAATCTCTCCCAGCTGACCCAATGCACTTTATTTTCCTTATCCATCTGGCTCCACCAATAGCTATTAATCATGGTGCTTAGTTCTTCACATATGCCTTTAGTGAGATCAAAGCACGCCATGGTGTAAACAGGAATAGCTTGTGCTACGGCCTTTATGAGTATTTCTTTCCCTGCCTTCGAAAGTAGTTTCTCCTTCCACCCTTGAATCCTTCTCCATAATCTTTCCTTCACGTATTCGAACATCTTTACTTTTTCTTTGCCCACATACGTTGGAAGACCTAAATATTTTGATGAGAGGCCTTCCGACGTAATGTTCAGACAGCTCTTCATTTCTTCCTTCTGCCAAGGCCTTGTATTTTTACCGATCAAAATGGAAGACTTGTCCTTATTTATTATTTGTCCTGAGCAGCTCCCATATATGTTAATTATGCGTTCAACTTCTTGCGCACTGCTTGCATTAGCCTCCATTAGCAGCAAAGAATCATCTGCAAAGAGAAGGTGACTTACACTAGGAGCTCTTCTGCATATTTTGATTCCTCTAATTGACCCTCTCATTTCAGCATTATGCATCATGGCAGAGAACCCTTCTGCGCAAATTAGAAATAAGTATGGGGAAAGTGGGTCACCCTGTCGAAGCCCTCTTTGAGGTGTGATTATTTCCGTAACAGCCCCATTCACTTTGATTCGGTATTTGACCGTGGAGATGCACTTCATTATCAAGTTGATCCACCCTCCGTCAAAACCCAGTCTATGCATCATCTCCTTTAAAAAGGGCCACTCGACGCGATCATATGCCTTGCTCATGTCTAGTTTTATTGCTGCATAACCCACCGAGCCCTTTCTTTTCCTCTGCAAGAAATGTGTTAGCTCATATGCCAGTAGTGAATTGTCAGATATAAGGCGCCCAGGCACGAAGGC